ACCTCTACACACGCAACATGGCATGAACAGACTCAAAGAACACAGATACTGCATATACAAAGTAAATAAATGTAATTAAGGTTGGTGGGGCTGGTTTATTATTATAATGACAGGGGAGGGAAATCTATTTTTTAAAAACAGGCAGGAGAGTTCATCAGGGCCTAATCTGTCATGGGAAATATTTCTGTCTTGAGCCTAAGAACAGTCAGAAATTACTGAAGAATTTTAATCAGGATAGTAAATTAGCTGGACCTCACTTCTCAGTTCTTGCTCAGGGGCAAACTCAAGTCCAAGAAGGCAATTAAAGGTCATTGTATTGTGGCGATGGAAAGGAAAAGGAAAGATTCCGTGACTTCAGAGGTGTTACAGAAGAGTCAGAACAGGCAGGGGGTGAGGAGGCGAGGGCTAGGCGCTGGGAGGGGATCTGGGTTCCTGTAGGTCTCTGACAGCTGCCAAGAGGATGGAGAACAGTGCTGGGTATCGTGGATTTCAGGGACCTGTGGGATATCCAAGCCAGGAAAGCAAATAAGCAGTTGAATAATGTTAGGAAGGCAGACATCAGTTTGGGGACAATAAATAGTTTGGATATTTAAGAGCAGGCAAAGGGGTTAAGAATGATGTACACTTGTGATCCCAGCACTTGGGAGGCAGAGGCAGATGGATCGCTGTGAGTTTGAGGCTAGCCTTGTCTACAAAGTGAGTTCCAGGACAGCCAGGACTGTTACGCAGAGAAACTCTGTCGAGAGAGAGAGAGAGAGAGAGAGAGAGAGAGAGAGAGAGAGAGAGAGAGAGAGAGAGAATACCACACTGGGGATTGAATTGAAGGCATTCTGTCTGTGATTTATGGCCCTTGAAGATATCTAGATAATCCTGCTGAGCAGGCCAGATAATCCTGTCCAACAAGTTGTGGTTCCCCACCAAAAAGTCCAACCCAATGGTTTCAAATGTGGTTTCTCAGCGAAAGTCTAGATCAATAATTTAAAAAAAATCACCTTGCCCCATATCCCTTCTACCCAATCCCTGGTTGCCAAAGCATGTAATTCCTGGCTTGTGGTTTTTCCCTATAACAACTCTCTACCCCTGGGCCTGCGGCTGCTGCCAAATTTCCCTTCATCTGCTGTGCGGTGGCCCAGGTTCGTACCTGACAATAAAAGGACCCTTATGTGCTTGTATTGGAAACCTACTCCTTGGTGGTCTCTGGGGGTTTTGAGAAGTGGGTACACCACCTTCAACCTGTGTCTATGATTTTAACTAATCCAGGAATGAACCTCATGAAAATTGTACAGTATTTTACTATCTTGGTTTTACTGTTTGGGGTAATAACCCAGGGCCTCTAGTATGCTAGGATGCCCTTTACCTTGGAGCTCTCCACACCTCACCTACAGCCTCCAACACTTCCCTGCCTGTCTTCTTCCCTTTCCTCCCTCCCTCCTGCCTTCTGACTAGCTCCTTCCACTTAGGGGGCGGGTCCTGCAGCCTCTCCCCTGGCTTGAATGCACTTACTACCACATAGCTATACACTTTAAAAGTTAAGGTGGGAGCTGGGGGGTGTAGCGCAGTTGGTGGCATGCTTGCCTAGCTTGCATCAGGTCCTAGGTTCCATCCCCAGCATTTCATAAACCAGGTGAGGTGCACACCTATAATCCCAGCACTCTGGAGGCAGGAGGATCTTCAGTTCAAAGTCAACTCAGGTACAAAACGAGTTAGATATAGTATTAAAAACAGCTTGGTACTGGCATAAAAGCCGACATACAGACCAATGGAATCGGCTATACTACTCTTGGGCATATTCCCAAGGAATGCTCAACCATACCACAAAGACACTTGCTCAACTATGTTCATAGCAGCATTATTCATAATAGCCAGAACCTGGAAACAACCTAGATGCCCTTCAACTGAAGAATGGATAAAGAAAATGTGGTACATATACACAGAACCAGGGAGGCTATATAGCAAGGGGGACCCTAGGATGACTGTGGCTTATAATCAATTTTGGTTTTACTCAATTACTGGGCAAGCCCCAGTGAAACATTTCACTATTAGGATAAGAATTTGTACTGTATCAAGCTGATAATAGAAAAATAAATAAATAAAAATGAAAAAAAAAAAACCGAGTTAGAGACCAGCCTGGGCTGCCAGGAGATCCTGTACATTTTGTTATTGTCGTTTTAATTTGTCAGAAATATGTATATTCTACAACTTGGAAAAAAAAATCTAAGGTCACCTTCTCTCTCTTTTTCCTAGACATGGTTTCTCTGTGAAACAGTTCTGGCTATCCTGGAATTTACTCTATAGACCAGGCTGGCCTTGAACTCACAGAGATCCACCTGCCTCTGCCTCCCGAGTGCTGGGATTAACGGCGTGCGCCACCACCGCCTGGCAAAAGATCTACTTATTTTTATGTGCATTGGTGTTTTTTTTTTCCTGCATGTATATCTGTGTGAGGGTGTTGGATCCCCTGGCACTGGAGTTACGGACAGTTGTGAGCTGCCCTGTGGGTGCTGGGATTTGAGCTTGAGTTGATCTGGAAGAGCAGCCAGTCCTCTTAACCATCGCAGCCATCTCACCAGCCTCTGTGAGGTTTTTCTGAGCCAGCTCTCAGGAGTCAGGCGAGAAGAATGGAGGCGGGTACAAAAACGAGAGAGCTTTCGGAGCCGCTTCCGGCGGAAGGGAAAGGTAAAAGAGCACTGAGCGGGACCAGGAAGGGCTTGAGAGTGACTGATCCTTAAAGGAGCGAGCTGCGAGCTGCCCCCGGGGGCGGGGCGGGGCGGGGCGGGGCGGGGCGGGGCGGGGCCAACCGAGGCTGGGGGTCCCTCCCGAGTTGGGTAGGTGGAGCCCGGGAGAGCTAGGATTTCTTAGCGAGCCGAGCTGCTGTCCGGTAGGTGTAGAGTCGACACCTGCAGGAGAGGCGCTGTTCTACAACTTGGACTTCTCGGCTTTCCACAGCCCGAGATCACCCCTACCTCACCTGACCTAGCCGACACACAAGTTGGGAGTGGCAGGAAGCTTCCGGAGTGCCATGACCTTGCTCCCTTGCCGGCGGGCATTCTTTACAGTGGAGTCCTCCGTTTCGCTTCAGTCTTGCCCACCCCAGCAGGAGGGCAGTCAGTCGTTATGCCGAGAAGACAATTTGTGAAGGTTCCCGGGAACCCTAAGTGGGGTGGTAGTGTTCTGGACACTACAGGGGACCAACACCAGCAGCCACCTCTACCTTCGCCCCTCCTTGAAAGCCCGGCCTGTTACCTGTGCCAAGTAAGATGCTTTTCAGGACACCACACTCCAGCCAAAAACACCATACCACTTAGTTTCCATAAGCTTTGCTGTTCCCCTCCTGAGCAAGTGGGGTATAAGGGTCCAGTGGTCTTGTTTATGCCCACTTTTTTGTTCTTGGGGCCCTTGAAAGCAAACTTCTGGGGCTGGGTCAAAGGCTTGGAGGGTATAGATTATGAAGCCCTGACTTTAAAAACTCTATTTTTGCTCTAGCATTCACAGAGAGCCATATTTCCAGGCCCCCTTGCTCAGAATCTACCCAAACCAGGGACTTCCTAAGTGCTCTAGGAGACGCCCTAATATGTGTTGTCTTTGAGGCTACACTTATTGTGACCCTCGTGTCTTGTTAGTCTGACCTAAACCGGCTAACAGCCAGGTCAAAGCCACCTTAGTCCAGACCCTACACAATCAGACCCAGGTTCAGGCCTTCAAGTCTAGGCCTCTTGCTAGGTTGCAATTCCTCAGCTGCACATGCCTTTGGGGGACATTTCCTTTTTGGTGGGAGGACAAGTGAGGCCTCTAGTGGTCCACTGTCCAGTCTTTCATTTATCTGCAGTCATTTAAGGCTTCAGCATGAGACCCGTAACTGTCACCCTGCTCAGTATGAAATATTCTGGGAAAACTGAGCATTGATCAAGGTCACACAGCAAACAATAAAGCAAGGCTGGGCTGTAACCAGGACACACCTTTCCCTAAGACAGTCTTACACTTCCCACAGTGCTTCAGGCTTAGAAATCTTGGAGGGATGAAACTGAGGCCCAAGGGGATGTGGGAGAAGAAAGGACAGGGGGGCTCGGATGCACTCAATGATAAGAATATTTGCCTAGCTGGGCGGTGGTGGCACATGCCTTTGATCCCAGCACTTGGGAGGCAGAGCCAGGCAGATCTCTGTGAGTTCGAGGCCAGCCTGGTCTACAGAGCAAGATCCAGGACAGGCATCAAAACTACACAGAGAAATCTAGTCTTGAAAAACAAAACAAAACAAAAAAAGAGAGAGAGAATATTTGCCTAGCATTCACAAGGCCCGGAGTCAGAATTAATACTACAGGACTCCCTGAAGGGAATCACAGCTTGTTCTGGGTTCTGGGCCATTATCAGAGCTGCTCCTTGATTTGGCTGCCTCACCTTTGACACAAGCCAGTACAGTCTCTGGCCACCCCCACCTCCCCAAACAGGTCACACAATACATAGCCCCGGGAGGCACCATTAACATTGTGTAATGAGAACAGAACAATAGCTGCATCTACAGCGCTATTGATTGAACACTTACACTGTCTAGTTTAACCACAGCAATCTGGGTTAGAGGTGAAGTGTAATTAAATAGTATGTGTGAGACCATGGGTATTGATCCCCCAGCACCAGGGCACGGGGGGGGGGGGGGGGGGGGGGGGGGGGGGGGATCCCATTTTTGCAGATAAGGAAACTCAGAGAAACTAAGCAACATGACCAAAGTCATGCATGTTAGAGAAAGATTTCTAACCCAGGTCTGCTTAGCTCTGGAATCCATGTTCTCCTGATCACTGGTCAGCCAAAGAGGCCATGCCCTCCTCTCCTACTTGCGATCCTGAGCACCCAGCCAAGCCTCCTAGTATAAGTCTGGTCCTTATGTCTTTCACTGTCTGACAAAGGAGTTTCTGGCTGGGCCATGGGGCATGGTGTCCCTCCCTAATGTCTTTTTGGCACAGTTGCTGATTTGGCTTGCATCTTCACTAAAGTTTTTTTTTTTTTTTTTGGTTTTTCGAGACAGGGTTTCTCTGTGTAGCTTTGCGCCTCTCCTGGAACTCACTTGGTAGCCCAGGCTGGCCTCGAACTCACAGAGATCTGCCTGGCTCTGCCTCCCGAGTGCTGGGATTAAAGGCGTGCGCCACCACCGCCCGGCTCACTAAAGTTTTTGTCCCTTTGAATGTCCCTCTCTAATTTTACTTCAAGGACCTTCCAGCTGAAGTCCCACAAGACTTCCAGTTTCTTCATTCCAGTGATATCCTTCATCTTGGGTCCCCTGGCTCCTATCTTTAGGAAGTTTAAAGAGTAAGGCCTGGGCTATAGTTGGAGTCCTGTTAAGTGACGAACAGTAGTTCCTTACAGGAACAACAAACAAAACACAACGGCGTTTTAGGGGTTTTTGTTTTGTTTTGTTTTTTTTGTCTCCCTCCAAGTCTCGCTTAGCTGTAGAAGTAGAACTGAAGTGGCAGATAAAGTTGAGATTGCCCGGATGATTGGAAAGATATGTAAATGCTTTCTCTTCTATCAATTTCCCCGCCCCGTTTTGGGGATTGAGAATCGTTAACTGGAAATATTTTAATATTAAGAAAATAAGTATGGGGCACTAGGACTTGAACAAACTCCTGAATCGTAAAGAGAAAAAGCACCAGACTAAGAAATTCCGCGCTTGCGGAGGGAGGATTCGGGCTCCTCCCCCACCCGGGCAGAACCTAGCTCTGAGGTCGCGAGAAGAGTGCGCCTGGCACCGAGTGAAGGTGGCTATTGTGACTTCCCGGGCCCCAGAAGGGGTGGCTTAGTGCCAAGGGTGTGACCTGGTCCAAGGCCCTGGGAAGAACCTGCCCTTCGTCCACGCTGTACCCAAGGAGAGCGGCTCTGGGCGAGAGGGCGTGTCCAAGGCGGAGTCTCAGGCTCCACCCCGATCTCCGGGTCCGCGCCGCTCAGCGCCCGCGTGGTTCTCCTACAATTTAGCCCTCTGCAGAGGCTCTGGTCCTCAGCCGCCTTCTGGTTGAGGTTGTGCTGCAGAGAGGATCAAGGTCTGGCTGTGACCCGGGCCCAGAAAAGACCAGGGAACGCGCTCTTCGGGCAGACCTGGACTCCACCGGCTTCCAACAACTAGTCCGGGACCGAGAGTCTTGGAGTTTTAAACAAGTGAGCGGCCCCAGAAGGACAGGGCCGGGTGGCCGGCTATTGGGCTCGCCATGGCTGCGCACGCCCGCCGTCTGTGCCATGTCGCTTTCCATGTGCCTGCTGGGCAGCCGCTAGCGAAGGACCTCCACCGCCTCTTCGGCTTCCAGCCCCTGGCGGTGCGGGAAGCAGGCGGCTGGAGACAGCTGGCCCTGCGCAGCGGAGACGCGGTCTTTCTAGTGAACGAGGGCTCGGGGCCGGGGGAGCCACTGTACGGCCTGGATCCGCATCACTCGGTCCCCAGCGCCACGAACCTGTGCTTCGACGTGGAGGATGTGGGCGGTGCCGCCCGGGCGCTGGCCGCACAGGGCTGCGTCGTGCCGGTACCACCCACTAGCGTGAGGGATGCACAGGGCACAGCCATCTACACGGTGGTCAGCTCTCCGGCTGGTAACGTTAGCTTTACGTTGCTGCAGCGTGCTGGCTATCGCGGATCCTTCCTGCCCGGATTCAGACCGCTGCCTTGCACACCTGGCCCTCGCTGGGTCAGCCACGTGGACCACTTGACCTTGGCCTGCACCCCTGGCAGCTCCCCTACACTTAGGCGTTGGTTCCAGGACTGCCTAGGGTTTCGTCACTTGCCGCTGAGCCCAAGTGAGGATCCGGAGCAGGGCCTCGAGGTGGCTGCAGGGTCTGGGCGAGGGGGATTACGGCTTACTGCCCTGCAGATCCCACCTGACAGCACAGTCCCCACCCTCGTGCTGGCAGAGTCCCTGCCGGGACCCACCAACAGACAAGACCAGGTAGAGCAATTTCTAGCCCGGCACCAGGGGCCAGGTCTGCAGCACGTAGGACTGTACACTCCCAACATCATGGAAGCTTCTGAGGGGATGGCGAAGGCGGGAGGCCGGCTCCTGACCCCTCCTGAAGCTTACTACCAGCAGCCCGGCAAAGAGGAACAAATCGTAGCTGCAGGGCACAAGCCTAGCCTTCTAGAACGGCAGGGAATTCTACTAGATGGCGACAAAGACACGTTCTTGCTTCAGGTCTTCACCAAGTCCCTCTTCACTGAGGACACCTTCTTTCTGGAGCTGATTCAGAGACAGGGGGCCACAGGCTTTGGCCAGAACAACATCCGGGCACTATGGCAGTCCGTGCAAGAGGAAGCTGCCAGGGCCCAGGGAGCATAATCCGGCAGGATCCCAGGTGCTCTGAGGAGTGCAGCACAGGCCTGCTGGAGAACTGACACACCTCCACACCCCAAATAGAGGCCATCCGTTCTGGCCAGGTGGGGGTCTTTGTTTCAACCAGTACCTGCCAATTCTAGCGTCTCTTACTGGACTCCAAAGAGATGGGATTTAAAACAACACATCTAGGTAATGTAAAGAATAAAGGAATGAGGTCATAAGACAACACTCGAGCCTTTGTGTCTTTACTGTATTTCCTTCCCATCCACCCTTAAGGTCTTGTGATCAATGATTCTGAGGAAGGAATTTAATACCAACCCTCGTCTGTGCTGACCTCCCTAGGGAGCAAGGGCTGCAGGTGCAGATGGACTAGGTCATGGTTAGCCTAGCCACCTGCTCTATGATGGTGCTCCGGCTCCAGTCGGAGCTTACCTGAGACCCAGAATGGGAGCATTGGATGTCAGCCACTGACAGGTGCTCCCTGCAGCTGCCCTAACTCTTTGCTGGGTAAGAACACTGGTCAGAATGCCTCCAGCCTCCAGGACTGTCTGGGAGCTCAGCCAGGGGAAGTCAGAACCAAGCTGACTTGACCGTTTTCTGAGTCTTGCAAAACTAAGTGAAGGGGCTGGAGAAAGTGTAGAATGGTCTCCAAAAGGACTACAAAAATAAGCATTTTATTAAGACTGGATTTAGGGTGGGCTTCCTGGGGGAATCACTGGGCTGTACTGTTGGGTGTGTCTGTGGGAATACGAGGCTGAAAGAAACTATCCAGGATTTGCTGGCCCCGGCTGGGTTTTTTCCGGCTTGATGGAGTAGACATCCGGGGCCTTTTAGAACCCTGTGCAAAATCCAAAGATGGGAGGTAATGAGTACACATCGGGAAATCTTGTGCCTGCTCTACTAATCCAGCCTATAATGCTGTAGAATTTTCCACTTGCCTTCAAGTACCAACCCCTTTAGTCAACTCTCTAAAAGATGCCCAAGAAAACTTGCTAAGATGCTAAGCTGGGGCTGGGGACATAGCTCAGTTGATAGAGGGCTTGCCTAACACGCATAAATCCCTAGGTTTGAGTCCTAGTATTGGATAGAACTGGGTATGACAGGCACATGCCTATAATCCCATCATGAGGGAGGATCAGAAGTTTAAGGACATCTTCATCTTCAGCTACACAGTGTGGGTGAAGGGTGGGGAGATAGCTCAGGTTAAGATTGTTTAAGCAGAGGACCCGAGTTGGGGACCCAATACATATGCTGCATGGTTCACAAGCACCTACAACATCAACTCCAGAGGATCCAATGCCCTCTTCTGGCCTTTATGGGTACTACATTCAATGTACATGTACCCACACATAGACACACACACACACACACATATATATATACATATATATACATATGTATATATATGTATATATATATACATAATTAAAAATAATAAAAATAAATCTTTTTCTAGGACCCAAATTAGGAGTTATTTTCATCAAGCAGCTTTTCCTGATCCTTGTCTCACAGATGGCTCCCACAAAACCTAGCAGATACTTCACATACCTGTGACACCAGCGCCCACACTAATCTGTCCTTGTCCCTCTACCCTACAGTTCTCACTGTACAATCAGTCCCTAGTTCACAAACTGTCCCTCTGCCCCCAGAGGCAGGCCTGGGAGAAGATGATAGCACGAGCCTCTAAGACTCACCTTGCGGGTCCCTCGCCGATGGTCCTCATACACGCGGAATACCTAGCCAAGATGGAGGTGGGAGGAAAGGAGACAGGGCTGGCACCTTCTCCAGAAAGAACCAATACCCTGAGTTCCACCCCAGCCTGTGGTCAGCCCCTGCAATTTTGTTTAAAATACACATTTCTTTCCCGTTTATACAGCAGTAAGTTCATGTAAAACATGTAAGAGACACACAAGAAGAGAAAACAAAGTGGTGCCTTTTTCATGGCGGTGGAGACAGCTGCACTGTGGAATTCCTCCCAAGTCAACCATCGAGCGCCAGGAGGTGCGGGGGCCACTGGGGTCTGTCCTTCTAGGGCCAGACTATACACTTGATACGTCAGTTTGATGTGAGAGAAGATGTGGATCACCTGGGGGAGAAGAGACGGGCCAGGTCTGTCTGTGAATATGAACACGAAAGCCCTCTTTCCTGGCACCCTTGCCAACCTACCTCCCCCAGGTGCTGGGGACGAGCGCCTGGGAGGGGTCCAGACAAGCGCTGCAGCTCCCGCAGAAGGGCTTTGTGCTGATGCTGTTCCGAGGGCTCCAAGGTGACAGATGGAAACTCCCACAGTCCTGCCAGCAGACCTGACGGCAGCCGGATATGGGGTCAGCTTCTTCCGCTCTGCTGCTAGGACACTGCCCTCCAATCCCCATATTCGGGTACCTGAGTTAGGCCTTTGGACCAGCAGGATGAGGGGACTCCCAGTGGCTCTGGGGTGCTCCAGAACACAAGTGGCAGAGTACTCCTCTCTGGGAGGCCTACGGCTGGCCTTTCGAGGAAAGTTGGTCACTCCCAGAGCGGGGTCCCAGGGTTTTGTGGGAGGTAGGCAAAGCTGGCACTGTCTAGTCTTGAGAGCTGGAAACAAAGATCCTGAACTCTGCTCAGGCCAAGTGGCCTTAGGTGCCTAGCCCAGGGGGAGGATCAGTCCCAGGAGGGGCAGGCTGGGGTCAGGGCTGGTGCTTACCACACTCCTCTATGTCAGGACTGCCTGGCAGGGCTGAGAGCTGTTCCCGCTCCACCTGAGAGACGGAGGAGGGTGTCATAGGGCAAGGGTCATTCACTAGGACACCCTAACTCTTCCTCTGGAGGCTCACCCGCTGGTATGCCTGGCACAGGCTCTGTACAGGGCACTGGCTGCAGAGAGGGTGCTGCGGGGTACAGACTGTGGCTCCCAGCTCCATGGCTGCTTGATTGAAGTCCCCAGGCCGGGCTGGATCCACTAGCTGATGAGCTAGGCTCCTAGACGTAAGGAACACTACTACAAGCAAGGACCCTTTGAACAGACCCTTCCCAATTTCCCATCAGCCCAGTAGCTTACCAGAGGTGATGAGAGACAAGGGTGCTGCTGGGATCGGCACCAACGGCACGGACACGGCACAGCACCCGTAAAACATTCCCATCCACCACACCAGTTACCTGGCACAGAGGGGCCCGGGAGTCAGACTGGACTTGGAGGAAGGGAGTGTACACATTAAATAAAGGTGACGTGCGGCCTAACCTGGTCAAAGGCAATCGAAGCAATGGCTCCGGCTGTGTACCGCCCCACGCCAGGCAGGAGCTGCTGCAGGGTCTCTGCTGTCCGTGGCATATGACCTCCCAGCTCCTCCACCACCTGATTGGAGTAGGAAGGCTCAGTTTTAAGACACCTGAGGCCGCCGGCCTCCCATTCTTCAGTGCATTGCCCATTTACCTTCCTAGCTCCCTCTTGCAGCCGACGGCCTCGAGAATAGTAGCCCAGGCCAGACCAAAGCTGGTTCACCTCCTGTAAGTGGGGGTCAGAGGTCAAAGATCAGGGGTCGGTCCCCCAGTTGTTTCTATTCCCCCCATCCAGGGGTGGCTCACCTCCAGGGAGGCATTGGCCAGGTCCTGAAGTGTTGGCCACTTCTGGAGACCCGAGACAGGCAAAAAGAAATAAGGTTAAGGATGAGGGTGGCAGAGGAAGCCTTTTCCAGGGTCCAGCCAACTCTCCCCTCCCTCCCTGGCATCACCTGCATCCAGCGGGTATAATAGTCGATCACTGTGGCAACCTGGGTCTGCTGCAGCATAACCTCTGACACCCACACTGGGGAAGGGGGTTAACATGAGGTTCTGCAACTTACCCTGGCTCCTGGCCCTAACCCCAAACCTGAGCATAACCCCTAAACCCAAGGACTTCCAGGCAAAGCAGCCCAGTTCTGTACTGACCAGCATAGGCTCGCCTGTCCAAATTGGCCTCCTGCTTGACCTGTCAATAAAACCACAGGTGAAAGCTTAATATCAAAGGAGCTAAGTGCCAGCTTTCCAGCCTACTTCCCTGTCCCACTTACCCATCTTCTCCAAGGTAGGTCCCGCTTCTCTTGGTCATACCAGCTGAGCAAGTTCCTTCGGAAAGTCGTGACATCGGCCATGTCTCTGAACAGATGGTACGGGGAGACAGAGGCCTGCAGTAACTCTTCTCTCTTCTGCTTGGCCTGGCCTGCAGGACAGCCAGGACACTTCGGAATGACTCCCTCATCCCACCCCACCCTTTCTTAAGAATTATCTTTAGTGCTTGTGCGTGTGTATCTGAGCTATGTGATTCCCTAGAGCTGGAGTCCTGGGCAGTTGTAAACTGCCTGACAGCTGAGACGTCTCTCCAGCAATCCTCTTCAGTTTTCTGAGGCAGGGCCTCAACAGGATCTCATATAGTTCAGCCTGGCCTCAAACTTGCTGTGTAGCCAAGGCTAGCTTTAGAACTCCTAATCCTCCTGTCCCAACCTCCCAAGTGCTGGGATTACAAGGGTGACCACCACCCCTGGCTCTTCAGTATTTAATATTTATTTCATTACTATTGTGCATGCATGATGTGAATGTGTGGGCATGCATGCCACGTGAGCAGATGGAGGTCAGAAGACAGCGTTCTCGGAGTTGGTTCTCTCCTTCCGCCTTTCCATGGGTCCTGGTGATCAAACTTAGGTCATTAGGTTTGTGTAGCAAAAGCTTTCTCCCACTGAATCATCCTGCTGGCCCCTTTGGGGATCACTTTTGCCCAGGTTCATCAGGGACCCAGGGCATAGCAACCTGTAGTAGTAACCTGTTTCCACTCAGGGCTTCTCCTACCCAAATCTCACTCAACCTTCAGAGCTACAACCACATCAGAGTTCTAGTTACGTGTAGCCTTGGCCAAATTTCTGGTCAGAGTGTCTTTGTTCTCTCTGGACCACAAATGAAAACTCAATTAGTTAGGCAGAATAGGTACCCATGCAAGGTGCTTTCCTATTTTCAAAACACATTCAGGATTATATACTCATTTGATCCCATGAAAGCCACACAACAGTGAAGAAATGTATCGATGAAATTGTTCCATTCTACTGTTAAGAAAACAAACACCCAGAGCACTTGGTCCAAAGTTACACAGCAACAGTCAGAATTAGCTTAATTCCTTGGTACACTACAAGCCTGAATCTGCCCTCTTGTATAGCCAGCAAAACCAGTCCCTTGACACTCTGGCAAGGGCCAGTTCCTTACCATCAGGGGCAGAGGGTGTGGTCTGGCTACTGCTAAGGGCACACTTTGTCCTTCTCTCGTGGTTGGCTAGTGGCTTTCTGTGACTCCTTACAGATGCACGTAGCTTCTTCATGATAACCTGGAAGAGACAGATGTAGCCAATGTGGTCAGCCATGATGAGGCTGAATCTTGAGAGTTCTGCAGGAATTATAGCCACCTCTCCCCAAATCACTCAGAATGTCCAGCTTTTTTTTCCTTTTTTTTTTTTGTCTTTTGTCTGCATGCATGCATGTATGTATCATGTGCTACCCTTAGAGGCGAGAAGAGGGTGTCATATCCTCTGGAACTGTGCTTACAGCTGTTAGTGAGCTGCCATATGCATTCTGGGAACTGAATTCTGCTATAAGAACAGAAAGTGCTCTAAAATGCTGAGTGTCTTAGGGTTTTTATTGTTGTGAGGAGACACCATGACCACAGCAACTATTATAAATAAACATTTAATTGGGATGGCTCGCTATGTTCGGTCCATTATCATGACCAGGAGCATGGTGGCATGCAGGCAGATGTGGTGCTGGAACTGAGAGCCCTACATCTTGCGGGCAACAATTGTCACACTGAGTGAAGCTGGATGAGAAAAAGACCTCAAAGCCTGTCCTCACAGTGACACACTTCCTCCAACAAGGCCACATCTCCTAACAGTGCCACTCCCTTTGGGGGTCATTTTCTTTCAAACCACTACACGGAGCCATCTCTCCAGCCCTGTTTTTGTCTTTTTTTTTTTTTTTTTTTTTTTTTTTTTTGGTTTTTTCGAGACAGGGTTTCCCTGTGTAGCTTTGTGCCTTTCCTGGAACTCACTTGGTAGCCCAGGCTGGCCTCGAACTCACAGAGATCCGCCTGGCTCTGCCTCCCGAGTGCTGGGATTAAAGGCGTGCGCCACCACCGCCCGGCCTGTTTTTGTCTTTTGAAACAGGGTCTCACTATGTAGCCTGGGCTGGCTTCACACCTCTGGTCCTCTGTGATGCCTAAACTTGGCTGTCATCTGGAATCAACTGAAGTCCAAGCAGCTGGGCATGCTGTGAAAGGTTTTCTTCTTCTTCTTTTTTTTTTTTTTTTTAGGCAGGGTTTCTCTGTGTAGCCCTGGCTGTCCTAGAACTCACTCTGTAGACCAGGCTGGCTGCAAACTCACAGAGCTCAGCCTGCCTCTGCCTCCTGAGTGCTGAGATTAAAGGTGTCACCACCACTGCTCAGCTGAGGGATTTTCTTGATTGGATTATGTGGCGTTCTGAAAGTAAATGGCCCCCAAAGGAGGTGGCACTATTAGAAAGTGTGGCTCTGTTGCAGTAAGTGTGGCCTTGTTGAAGGAAGTGTGTCACTGGGGGTGGGGGGTGGGCTTTGCGTTCTCCTATGCTCAAGCTATACTCAGTGTGGCACACAGTTGCTTCCCGTTGCCTGCGGATCAAGATGTAGAACTCTCAACTCCTTCTCCAGCACCATGTCTGCCGCCATGCTTCTCGCCATGATGATAATGGACTAAACCTCTGAAACTGTAAGCCAGTCCCAATTAAATGTTTTCCTTTACAAGAGCTGTGTGGTCATGGTGTCTCTTCACAGCAATAGAAACCCTAACCAGGACAGATCATATGAGATGGGAAAACATACCCTAAATCTGGGCCATACCTTCTGGTGGCAATCCACACAGTAGGACAAGGAGGTAGAAGCCTTTGCTTTCTGCCTGCTTGCCCTCACTCTTGCTGGCGAGTTTATCTACCTGTTGTTGGGGCATTCTTTCCCCGCTATCAGAACCTACTTCAAGAGTCTAGCATAGACTGAAGAACAACAATCTCTAGAAATTCCTGGGTGACTTCAGCGCAGATTAGGATGGCTGAGACATCCAGTCTCCTGGACTGAACAACTACCAGACCCTTGGCCTTTCCACCAGGAGACAGCTACTGCTGAACTTCTCAGACCACAGCCTGTAAGCCACTCTAATAAATCCCCTTTTAATATATTCATTCTATCAGTTCAGTTCCTTTATTTTGTTTTGTTTTGTTTTTTTTTTTCAAGACAGGGTTTCTCTGTGTAGCGTTGGAACCTGTCCTGGAACTCACTCTGTAGACCAGGCTGGCCTTGAACTCACAGAGATCCTTCTGCCTCTGCCTCCCGAGTGCTGGGGCTAAAGGTGTGCGCCGCCGCCCACCGCCACCGCCACCGCCACCACCGGGGCAGCTCAGTTCCTTTAGAAATTCACAATACATTCTCCTATCACTACTTCTCAAGTACTGGGACTATACATGTACATAACTACACCTGGTGTGTCTATCTTTTCTTAAGCACTTTCAAGATGCCTGTGGTTGTCTGAATGAGAATAATCCCCATAGGCTCATATGTTTGAATGTTTGGTCCCAGTTAGTGGTACTGTTTGGGAAGGATCAGGAGGTGTAGCCTTGTTGGAGCATGTGTGTCACTGGGGGTGGGCTTTGAGTTTTAAAAAGCCCAAGACAGAGCTGGGCGGTGGTGGCGCATGCCTTTAATCCCAGCACTTGGGAGGCAGAGCCAGGCGGATCTCTGTGAGTTCGAGGCCAGCCTGAGCTACCAAGTGAGTTCCAGGAAAGGCGCAAAGCTACACAGAGAAACCCTGTCTCGAAAAACCAAAAAAAAAAAAAAAAAAGCCCAAGACAGGGCAGTCTCCTCCCCTCGCCCCTCCCTCTCTGCTGCCTTTGGATCAGGATGCAAAGTTGTCAGCCACTGCTCCAATGTCATGCCTGTCTTCTTCCCACCATGATGACCATGGACTAAACCTCTGAAACTATAAGCAAGCCCCCGATTAAAAGTTTTTTTTAAAAATAAGAGTTGCCTTGGGCACCAGGGAGTGGTGGTGTGTGCCTTTAATCCCAACATTCAGGAGGCAGAGCTAGGTGGATCTTTGTGAGTTTGAGGCCAGCCTGAATGAGTTCCAGGACAGACTCCAAAGCTACACAGAGAAACTCTGTCTCAAAACGCCAAAAAGAAAAAAAAAAAAAAAAAAAAAAAAAAAGTTGCCTTGGTCATGGTGTCTCTTCACAGCAATAGAACAGTAACTAAGATAATGCCCATGGGTTTGGTATTGGCCAACTATGGCACTAAGGTGCCATAAAAACAGATGAGCAAGGGATTCAGGGGATCATTATACAGGCAGCCTAGTAACAGACCAAGAACAAAGGGGCAGGCACAGAGGGCCGCAGAGCACTTGTATACACCAGATGCTCACCACCATGTACATATGACTAAGGGTTGTATGGAGTATCTAGGAGTGGGGTAAGGAAGAAGTCTGTCTGTCTGACTGACTATTATTAGTTACCTCGTTCACTTCACAGGAATGAGAAAACAAGAATCAAAGAAGAAAAAAGATTTGCCTGAGAGCAGATGGCAAATCAATGAGAAGAGAGATGGGCTAGGAAATCGTAACTGGCTGGCCAATAGAAATGAGAAAATACATCTGGCTGACCGCTGCCAGACTGTTCTCCTGGCTCTCTTTTCTCTGATTGCCAAAACACTACTAACCGAGAACAGCAGGACGACTGAACAGATAAAGGTGCCCGAAGTCAAGCCTGATGACCAGGTGTGGATGGGCTCACACACATACACAACACACACTAAAAATAAACAATAATAACACAAAATAAACGGAGAAGGGGCTTTCACAAAGTCTCTAGCACTTAGAGTGGGTGCTTACTGTCTGCTCAGCCCCAGGAAGTGCTTTACTGGGTTGTCCGCTCCACCTGATGGCTGGGGGGGGGGGGGGGGGGGGGGGGCAGGAACTATTACTTCCACTCCAGGTCAGGAAGCAGAGGCTGGTTAAGCAACTGGATCTCATCTCCAGCTGTGCTGCAATCCTACCAAACCTGTTTTAACGTCTCCCCCAGTACCTGGACTCACCACCTCATTTTCATCAAATGACCCCGCTTTCGCTTTCAGGGGGAACAATATACAACCTATTTGCTCTGTCTTCTTCCCGCCTCTATGTGAAGGCCCCCGACCTTTTCCCTAGGACCCTACTTCTACAATACTCTAAACGGGACACACTCTCCTCCCCTTCATCACCACCTTCCTATGCCACACTCACTTTCACAACTCCCCTACAGTCTGTTCTCTGAAGAAGAAAGCAATCTTTCCAAGACACGATCATTGTTTTCGCAACATAATCCTGTGTTTGCACCTATAATCCCAGTGTTAGACGGGGTCAGGAGGTTCAGGAGCTCAAGGTCATCTTCAGCTCAACAGTTTGAGGCCACTCCTAGCCTATATGAACCACAAAAGAAGACAGAAGTGATCATGGTTTCCTTTTCCCACTTTCATATATGAACTGTTCAATGGCTTCCCATAACTCCCTGAACAAATATTTATGGAATGCCTATTGTGAGCCAACCAATTTACCTCAGTGTAGGTGCTACAGAGGCCCTTGTGCTCACAGATGAGCACCAGGGGAACCAGGAATGTTAAACACACAAGGTGTCTCTTCAAAGAGAGAGATGTATAGCTTGTTTTCCACCCAGAAGGCTAATGACCTTTGCTCTATCTGTGTAGCCAAGACGACAAGCAATCCTCCCTCAGACCCTTATTGTGAGTTTGTCAATCTACGGAACCCACCTTTACGGGAGCTCTCACATGTACTTTACAGAGGTGTTTGATGTAGTCATGTCCTAAGTTTTATTGTGCACATGGGGTGAAGTCATTATCACCAGAAAATCTTTCTTGTTCCTGCAGCCAAGCCTGATGACCACGGCATGGATGGGCTCACACACATACACACCACACATTAAAAAGAAATAAACAAGAAAATAAAATAAATGTGTTGTGCTTAACTATGCCTAAAATAACTACTCAGGGTGAGACTCCAAGGTTTGCACCAACACTAGCTACTGAATTGTGTTGAACCGAACTACCTCCTTGTCTCCCCAGGACGACACTCTGCTGGCTGTGGTGGTTGCAGAGACCCTCGAACCTTACTCAGCAAACTCTTCAGCCAGAAGAGGGCTTATAATCTAACAGAGGCAGACAATGAACAACACACATATAAGTATATTAGATATTTAAAAGAAGTAGCTGTTGGCATAAAGAGAAAAAGTTAACACAAGTGAAGGGTATAACGTCTAGGAAGAGCACAAATGTGCCAGGCGGTGGTGGCACACGACTTTAATCCCAGCACTAGGGAGGCAGAGGCAGGTAAAACTCTGAATTTGAGGCCAGCCTGATTTACAGATTAAGTTCCAGGACAGTCAGGGCTACACAGAGAAACCCAGTCTCGAAAACCACCCCCCAATAAAAGCATCAAAAGGAAGTGATTAAGATCTTTATGAGACCTGGTAGACGGTGGCACTTCTTTAATGCCGGCACTTAGAAGGCAGATCTCTGTGAATTCCAGACTAATCTGGTCTACACAGCAAGTTCCAGTCCAGCCAAAGCTGTAAGAGTGAGGCCCTGTTTCAAACAAAGAAGACCATCCTAAAAAACTAGTGGACAATCCCTGAGGAGGATGCCCTGAGGTATTGCCGTTGTAATGCAGTGAAGAGGGGATGGGTGGTTGGGCATGAGGTAAGAGAAGATGGGGAGGTTGGGTGGAATCACAAAGTTATCCCTTAGAGGGCTCTCTGGTCATTCCTCTCGGTATCACGCTGAAGATCTATAGATCAGTGCCCTGGTCTTGTCCTCTCACTGTGCTCTAGCTGCCTGATTTACTTACTTGCATACACACACACACACACACACACACACACACACACACACACACACACACACACACCAGGGTCTCACTATGCAGTCTTGGCTGGCCTGGAATGCTTAGAGATTGACCTGGCTCTGCCTCTCAAATGCTGGGACTAAAGGTGTATGCCAACACAATATCTGGCCTTTTCTGTTGCAGCTTTTATACCAACTGTAATGTCATATTTACTTTTGATTCTTTTGGTCAATGGCTTCTTATTCTACTTTAAACAAAACAGCACCAAGGAAGCTGAGCAGGAGGATGATGAACTAGAGCTGGAGAAATAGTTCAGAGGTTAAGAGCACTGTAGCAGAGGATGCAGGGTTTGATTCCCAGTGGCTCACAATCATCTGTAACTCCAGTTCCAGGGGAATCCAACACCTTCTTCAAGCCTCATGGGCACCAGGGACCCTCCCTGTGCATGCATATATATGTGTGTGTGTGTGTGTGTGTGTGTGTGTGTGTGTGTGTGTGTGTGTATGTATGTATATGAAATACTCATACACATTAAACAAACAAACAGAAAATAAACAAACCCACAACTCTGGGCTGGGATGTGGATCAGTTAGTGATTGTCTAGGGTACAGGAAGTCCTGTGTTCAATCTCCAGGTCCCATGGCTCTGCTCAGTGCCTCTTCCTGAATTGTGTTCCCAGAATCCATATTGGACTGATCATAACCACCTGTAACTTCAGCCCCAGGCTAGGGGTGGGGAGATTGGAGGGTTGTGGGATGTGTGTTGGCAGAGGGGGGGGATCAAATGCCTCTGGCCTCTGTGGGCATCTGCACTCACATGCACAAGCCCACACACATACAAATAATTAAAAAGAACAACAATCTTAAAAAAAAAATGCCCGGAGGTGGTGACTCACAATTTTAATCCCAGCACTTGGGAGGCAGAGGCAGTAAGATCTCCAGGTTTGAAACCAGCCTGATCTATATAGTTTCAGGACAGCCAGGACTACACAGAGAAGTCCTGTCTTGAAAAACAAAACCAAACAGACCAGGGTGGTGGTGCACTCCAGATGTGGGGGTTGAGGGCTGTTGCTCTTGTCCTTGTTTTAAAAGAAGTTCAACGGGCGGCAGTGGCACACGCCTTTAATCCCAGCACTTGGGAGGCAAAGCCAGGCGGATCTCTGTGAGTTCAAGGCCAGCCTGGTCTACAGAGTGAGATCCAGGGCAGGCACCAAAACTACACGGAGAAACCCTGTCTCCAAAAAAAAAGAAATTTGTTACACGAGACCTTATCTCTTTGTTGTTTCGTTTCTCCTTGGCTACGCAGGGTTTCTATGTGTAGCCACTGGCTGTCCTGGAACTCTCTAAACCAGGCTGGCCTTGAGCTTAGATTTGCCTGCCTCTGAGTGCTGGGATTAAAGGCATACTCCACCACGGCCCGGCTGAGACCCTAGCTTAAAAAAGAACAAAACCCTGCACAAACTTCTATGAGAGGTCTCTTCTGTTTGCTCAGAGCCCGCGCCAAATATATTTATTATACACAATACATAATGTGTTAAGTGAATTAATTGGATGGGAGAAAAGTCGAAGGAAATTCCTTTTTCAGTGAGGTCAGGTAATGCAGCACATTGGTAAAAGGACACCCCCCCACACACCTCGAAAAATAGTTGAGTAAGGGGAAATACGGGTCGGTGGTCCCAGAGGATGTAAACGCACCCTACGGTGGGAGTGGTTCCAGGCACCTCTCTTATAACAAGGGTCAAATTCAGACAAGTTGGCTCTTCCTTGCTATCCTACTATCAAAGCCTTAACTCAAGTGCACATTATCACTTGTGTGAATTATCTTAAAAGAGTTCCTGCTAGTTGGTCGCTTTACCAGCTATCCACCCGCGTCCTGTAGAACGCTTCCGGCCTCTCACTTCCTCCATCTTTCTGGGGTTACGACCACGCTCAGACCCTTTACTCTGCAGCGCGCCCATCTCTCCCGAGCTCCTAGGCATGGTTTAGCTCAGCATAGGAGGCATTCTCTCCTCCACCCCCGGGAAGCCTGCACTGCCCATGCCAACCCTGGGCTGTACAGAGGAAAAGATCGGCAGTAACTTAAAGGTACCAAGTTCCCGCCAGAGCATGCGGAAAAATAAATTACCTCGTGCGCAGTCTCCAACCCGCAGCCCCAGAGAACCCGCCAAGGGGCGTGGCTTCGCTCCGTCCGGACGCTCAGCCAATAGACACTCAGCGCGCGCAAGGCCGGCGCTCCGCACTCGGCCGGACCACTCCGAACGGAAGTTGACCCTACGGGACCCTGACGCCGAGATCCCGCCCCATCCTAGACCGGAGTCTCTCCGGGAGACGAAGCGGAAGTCTCCGCGTACCTACAGAAGCCTGGCGCGGGGCACGCGGCGTCATGGCCGCCGACAGTGTCGACGGTGTGCCTTCAGTTCCAACGACCTCTGACGGTGAGCGGCTTCCCAGGGGGTAGCCACAGAAGTCTACGCGGTCCTGTGGAGGGAAAAGCCTCGGGCCGGTAGTTCTAGAGACAGGCCTGTCGCTTCTGCTTGCGACAGATCTCCTAGGAGACTACAAGTCCCAGTGTGCAGCGCGTGCAATTGCAAAGCCCCTAAAGTTAGATTGTAGAGCAGTGAGGGCGCGTTGGGAGGTGTGGTTTTGATCGAGCCGGCGATTGTCAATCGGTATCACCAGGGAAGTGTGTAGTCGTCCACGGTGAGTGGAGCGTGGGTCTAACTTTGAAGCGCTCTTATATCTGTTCAGGCACCACGAGTATGTGGCTTTATGGGATCTGTGTTTGAAATAGATCTTGCTCTGTAGCTCAGGCTGGCCTCAAACTCCAAAGTCCTTTACTCCATGCTCCCAAATCCTGGGGATTACAGGCTCAGAGGATAAAGAACCCTCAAAGGTTGTCTACTCCACCTCTCTCCTGATTATGATGCAAAAAAGGAAGTGATTTCCCAGTCCCACACCACATAAAGTCAGTGCAAGACCCAGATGTCCTCTTTCCAAATTTAGGGCACTGTCCATTCCAAAGCTTGTGTGTAGAGCTGGTGGATGCAAAATCTCTAGGGAAAAGCTTATCAGTGGGCAACCCCTTCCCTACATCTAACTTGGTGTCTGATCCACTGGGACCTTGTGGGGACATGAAAATCCATCACTCGGAAAGGCGCAAAACTACACAGAGAAACCCTGTCTCGAAAAACAAAAACAAACAAACAAAAAAAAAAAACTCTTAGCCGGGCGGTGATGGTGCACGCCTTTAATCCCAGCACTCAGGAGGCAGAGGCAGGCGGATCTTTGTGAGTTCGAGGCCAGCCTGGTCTCCAAAGCGTGTTCCAGGAAAGGCACAAAGCTACACAGAGAAATCCTGTCTCGAAAAACCAAAAAAAAAAAAAAAAAAAAAAAAGAAAGAAAAAAGAAAAGAAAATCCATCACTCTCCTTTTCCCTAGGTGGTGTCAACAAAAACACAAAATCTGCAGATGAGTTTATAGTACGGGTTCCTGTGGTGGATGTACAAAGTGACAACTTCAAGGAGATATGGCCATCGCTCTTGCTGGCCTTAAAGACAGCTAGCTTTGTGGCTGTGGACACGGTGAGGCAGGGGAAATGGGGAGGGCAGGTGGTTGTGAAGGGTTTGATGGGTGTGGGGGAGAATTACAGTCCTTTACTCATCCATAGGAGCTGAGTGGGCTTGGGGACAGGAAGAGTTTGCTGAACCAGTAAGTATATGCCTTTTCTTTAATACCAGCTCTAACAAGTGTGTAGATCCAGGGTTAGGGAGTCCCAGCCCTGGGTAGTTTGGGTCCTTTGTGAAACTAACTCAGCCACCGCCGTGCCCAAACCCATTCTAAGGTGCATCGAGGAACGTTACAAGGCCGTGTGTCATGCTGCCAGGACCCGTTCTGTTCTGTCTCTGGGCCTCGCCTGCTTCAAGCAGCAGCCAGATAAGGTATGAGCTACCCTCATCCCAGATGCCAGGCATGGGGCAGAAGAGCTGAGATGCTGGAGAATGTTGAGGTTTTCCTCCTAATTTTTTCCTCCTTGTTTTTCAGGGTGAAAATTCTTATTTGACCCAAGTGTTCAATCTCACCCTCCTGTGCATGGAGGAGTATGTTATAGAACCAAAGTCTGTGCAGTTCCTGGTACAGCATGGCTTCAATTTCAACCGGCAGTATGCTCAGGGTATCCCCTACCATAAGGGCAATGACAAGGTAGGACTCCAGCTTCTCTAGCCTCGAGTGTGCGCTCTCTGTGGCCTCTTTCTTGCTTCCATAGGCTGAACACCTGGGGGGCATCTGCTTGTGAATATGGGGGTCCCTGGTGACAAGGCTGGGGAAACGTTCAAAGAAGGGTAGATTGGGTTAGATAACGAAGGAGTCCTTTCCAGGTGTACTGCACACAAGGCTGACTGGGCATTCTGTCCTTCCCTTCCCTTCCCCCTAGGGAGATGAAAGCCAGAGCCAATCAGTACGGACACTGTTCCTTGAACTGATTCGGGCCCGTCGGCCCCTGGTGCTACATAATGGCCTTATAGACTTGGTGTTCCTGTATCAGAACTTCTACGCACACTTGCCTGAGAACTTAGGAACCTTCACTGCTGACCTCTGTGAGATGTTCCCAGCAGGCATTTATGACACCAAATACGCTGCCGAGTTTCATGCCCGCTTTGTAGCTTCCTACTTAGAATATGCTTTCCGGAAATGGTGAGGACATGGCTGAGGGAAAGGGGTGGGGCATGGGATGAACCTATTTCATTCACTTAAGATTATTTATCAAGTACCTACCATATGCCAGGCACTGTTTTTAGGTGCTGAGGATTCAGCAGTGAACAAAACACAAACCCCCCTGTTCTCGTGGAGCTTATATGCTAGTGGAGCAATGCCCTCTTGCGCTGTTGCAGTGAGCGGGAAAATGGGAAGCAGCGGGCAGCTGGCAGCCCACATCTTGCCCTGGAGTTCTGCAGCTATCCATCTAGCATGAGAGGCCATATTGACTACCGCTGCTGTATGTCCCCTGTAACCTACCGTCGTTTTCATACCAGCGGCATCTGCGACAAGTTCTCGGTGAGAGCATTCATCCATTTCTTGGGGGAGGGAGGTTCTGATGTATGGAACCCCTTCTTAGCCTCTTTCCAACCTCTAGGCTTATGGCTGGTGCCCTCTAGGACCTCAGTGTCCTCAGTCACATGATATTGACCTTATCATTGACACTGATGAGGCTGTGGCAGAGGACAAGCGTCGACGGCGTCGACGGAAGGACAAACGGAAGAGGGCTTTGCTGAGCCAACCAGGGGCACAGACCTTTGAGGAAGCTGAAGATGGTCCTCCCACAAAGCAGGTCTGTGAGGATAGCCTCAAGACAGAAGAAATTGAGCAAAAAGTGACAGAGGGTGAAACTAGGGATCAGCTTGGTTCCCAGCAAGGTCACAAAAGTGGCTTAGCGGTCGAGCGTAAGGCAACAAGTTCTGAAACAGCTGAGGTGGCTACCTCAGAACTGCCAGTGAGTCAAGCCAATCCTAATCCTGGGCCTGGAGATGGATTGCATCGGGCTGGTTTTGATGCCTTTATGACAGGTTATGTGATGGCCTATGTAGGACTGAGCCAGGGACCTCAACTCTGCAGTTCTGGACCTTGGCTTCCTGAATGTCACAACAAGGTGTATCTAAGTGGCAAAACTGTACCCCTCACAGTGGCCAGGAGCCAGTTTTCTCGTTCTTCCAAAGCCCACAACCAGAAAATGAAGCTGGCTTGGGGCAGCAGTTGACCCACACATCTGCCTGGTACTAGCCTAGGGAGAGAAGCTGAGAGTAGGAAGAGATGTTCGGCAGTGTGTAGTGGCTCATGTCTGTCATCCCAGTACCCTGAAGGCTGAGGCAGGAGGACTGCTACAATTCATGGCCTCCATAGCGAATTCCAAGTCAGCCAGAGCCATACAGCAAAACCCTATTTCAAAAAAACGGGTTATTTGAGTTGTTATCCTGTGTATGTCACATTTAAGTACTACAGAGTTGTGCAGGTCAGCAGTGGTGAGTACAATGAGTACTTCACATTTCCTTTTGTACAGAGGCCTGGCCCAAGGGTACAAATAAGGCTAACTAGCACCTGCAACATCAACTTTATTTTTTAATCTGAAAGTGTCTCGGGAAAAGTTTTACAAAAAAAAAAAAAAAAAATCAACAGAAATGAATTATGAAAATATTTGACCAAGTTCATTCTTTGGTTATTTCTTATTGCGGCTCCTCAAGGACAGACTGTTCCCAAAGCTCCAGCTATAGCGGGGAGAAAATCAGTCCAAGTATGATACATTAACTACTGGTTGTATCACCTGTTGACACATACATAGAGCAGGCCCTGGGGCCTACAAAACCAGCCCCACTCCCAACGCCAAGGTTGAAAGTCTTGAGGCAAAACATTAAGACTCTTTTATAAATATGAAAATAGATTAATCAACTGGAAAGGTCTTTGAATAGGTTAGCTAAAAGATCCTTGACCACCACATTGCCTTGTCTCCCCCTTGCATAGAGATGTAGTGATGTGGTCTGACCATACAGTAAGTGCAAACAGCAATTATTCAAGTGTCTTAGACATACTGGCAAGAAGCATCCCAGTCTTCAGGTCTGAGAAACAGCCATGCCCTTTACAGCCTCCTAGTTAACTCCAGTTTCCATCCTGTAGCTTATATGCCCCAGAATGGGCACAAGAGACCTAGGTTGGGAAAGGAACTGGGTTCACAGCTGCATAGCTGCCTGCCAACTCAGCCTGGAACTAAGAATCCTTTGGTCCTTGTTCTAGGACATGTACTGCTGTCAGTGGGAGCCAGAGCTCCTTGCTGGATTTCACAGGTTTAGAATTAGGTTGGCCCTAACTATTGAAACACCTCCCATTACAGCCATTGGACACTGAAAGCCCAATTTTTAAGTCAGGCTTTTCTCGGCCTGCCTGCTTTGTGGGCTCCAGGGAAGAGCCTGGCTGTGCATCAAGGGGATCCAGCAATTTCAGCTAAAGGTCCATCCCTAAGGTGAGGCAGGAACTAGTCCTCCCCCCACCTCACCCCCACCTCCTCCATCCTGCTCTCCCTGGGTTTGCAAGCTTATTCCAGAGACAGAGAAGTGGACAGGAGCCCTTTGTGGCCTTTCTTCCACCTCCATCTCAGAGGCAGCTTCAACACATAGGCTGGTCCCCTTGGGCCTGGGTCCAAAACCATTTTCTTCTTGGGGGTTGGAGCAATCCATGGCCTCATGGACTGAAGCAGCTGGTAACGCAGATGCACGGAATGGTGGAATCTCTCTTACTCCATACTTGAGACTACTGAGTCGTGGTGGAGGTCCATCAGACAGTGATTCTTCACAGCTCACAAATGGACAAGCCTGACGCAAGAACTCGGGTGAACCAGGCAAAGAACGCCACCGTCTTGAAGACATGGCCAACGGCTCTTGACAATCAGCCAGAGGCGTAGTTCCAGGCCCTGGTGCATCCAGATCAAATACAAGGGAAATGACAGATTTGCTGGGCAGGTCAAAGAATTTGATCTTGCCACCCTTGAGGTCCTGGCGTGCACTGAAAGGGTTGACTTTGGGGGTACGTGTAGCACCATCTCGTGGCCGGTAGTAGGGGTCCAAGACACTGACTGTACGTGGAGGCTTACGAGAGAAAATGTCTGACTGACTTCGAGACAGCCAGATAGTACGTCTT